GTATTTATTAATTTGCATAATTGGTTCAGGGGGGCCGAAGCCCCTGCCCCCCACACTGCGTGGGTCACGAATTCTTGATCAATGAAATTACATATTGTATGAAATAAGAATATTATACTCGTAGACCCAAACAAGATGTATCATGATAGAAATATGACAGTCAAATAAACCGTAACTAAATTCAGAAGTTACAATTAAGCCCTTTACATCTCCGTTAAAAGGAAATGAATTATTTTTTTCTCGCCCCCCGGGCTTCCCTCAGGCTCTGAATATTGGGGAAGTCCCCCTATTCTTCCAGTGGTATTAACGGTGCGATCTAAATATTTACTTTCACGTATCTTGTAATGATTTACATTCATTTCACAAGCGTGCGCTAACATGTACATGATCCGATCTACTTCCGGATATTGTTTTCATTTCGTCAACTAGAGAATATTCACATATCAATTCTTTTATGTAGTTAAATTTAAAATAAATACAATTTAAAACTTCGGTATTAAGGAATGTTATTTACAACCATATTTCTTTTATGCCATTTGGTCTATGGCAAGTTTAACTACAAGCGGGATGGAATTAAATGTCGCAGACTCTGAAATTTTGAAACTCTTCGAGTTTTGTCCATTTCCAACCGTTTAAAAGGCAATTCCCACGCAAACATAAATTCATCTACACTTTGATTTTTTTGCAATATTCTTATAGGTGACCATTTTGGAACAAAGTACATCGCTCGTGGAAACACTCCCTGACCTGCAACTACGCGCACTGAACTGAACATTCAGGCGTAGCCTCAGCCCAACCGTTTTGTACCACAGGTCGTAAGGTTTTGGGGTGTCTTTCAAGGGTCTAAACCAATAAGCGTAGAAGCAAGATTATTTTTTTTATTTTATAGCAACAATTTTTTACTTTTATATGAAGTTCCAACTTTTATGTTTATATCAATAGCTTAAAATACTTTTTATTCATAATTAGAAATTGAGTTTGAATAAAAGTTTAATATGTTTATTTTAATTAAATTCGTACAAATTCTCTTAATATTAATAAATAATAATAATAACAATAATAATAAAACATTTCATTAGTGTCTTTCGCGATAATGAAAACATAACACTTTATTCACAATAAGTGGCTTCGGTGTAGTAATTTTGAAGAGCCCTCCTTAGGCGCCGACGCCGGTGAAATGGAGATCCGTGTACTCCAAAGCTATTTAATGGCATTTATATATCAGCAAACAACGTCTAGCGGTGTTTTTTTGCTACTTTATTGGTGAAGAAATCTGCATGAATAGTCAGCGTACGGAAAAATGGCATTATATAAGCAGATATACTGTATGAATCGCATAATATAAGCAGATACACTGTATGAATCGCATGATAAATGCAGATATACAGTATGAATTGCATGATAAAAGCAGATATACTGTATGAAGGCGACCTGTCGGCGCCCGTAGATTCTACGGGCAGCGACCTCAATGTGCTGACAGGTGGCGCTCAAGATCCACGTGCGTGACGTTTCGCCCAAGTTTCGTAGACCCAAGCGCTCTTCGGTGATACTCAACTGTTTAGCATTTGTCAAAAAAAAATCGTCCTTTTTCCTGAAAGGATCATATGTAAATAGCAACTGTAGAAACGACATTGCACCTGATGTAGCACTGCGTTAAACGAGCTCTTGTGTTATTTGCAGGAATGCAGTCGCCATCTTGCGATGCAGACGAAGAACATCAACATCGACCAGGATTCGCTGAACAATTCGCAACAGCTCTCTGAGGTGAGTCCCACTCTGAGGTGAGTCCCACTCTGAGGTGAGTCCCACTCTGAGGTGAGTCCCACTCTTCCCGGAGGCCGGGGTCAGCATCTACAGTACTTGGCTGTCCGGGAGACACCTGTTTTCGCCATGAATTCCAAATTGTGGCAATTAATTAGCAATCAATCATATGTGGGTTTCCGCCGAGCTACGATCCGAATTTTTACTTGTGTGCTGGCGTCACGTCAAGCCAGCTCGCACACGTTTTCGGCACGAAAATACGTGGCAATCAATTCGGAATTGCGGCGATTAATTCGCAATAAATCATTTGGCATGTCTTATTCTGGTGTGCTGACATGGCTGTTCCAGCTTGACACTTTTTCGGCAGTCAAGCTGTGTCCTTTCTTAGGGCGAAATGTGGAAGGTGGCAGCACGGCGGCCGAAACGTGTCTGTGACCAGGACGAAGCGTGTCCCGTACAGCCAAGTAGCTCCTGACTACGGCAGCGCAACCCTACGCTGTCATTTGACACTTAACCCACCCCTCTGCGCGAGGAATGAAAAATATTTTTGCACATCCGCTGTTGCAATTTTATGTACGTTGTGAGACACTGAATAAAGTATCGATAGGTCTTTTCTGCAACAGGGAGTATTCGAAAGCGTAGGCGTGCGCGGTTGGAGTCGGTATCTACTTGGCTGAGCGGGACACGCCGCGTCCTAGGCACAGTTGTAAAAGTTGATGCCGCCATTGTGCGACCTTCCTCAGGGCGAAATCCTCAAGGCAGGTCATGAGAAAGGTCTGAACATTAAGACGGACACTTTAGCACCTGTGAATACGATGCAGTGTTCATGTAAATAACATAACGTTTCACTTATCCATGTATTTATCAACAAGAAAAAGAACGAAAAAAAAGAACGATGCGGCGTCTCATGGACATACACCCTTTCCCCCTTTCCACGTCCACAGACCGGCTGAGGTGGCTCAGGGCATGCAATGATGTCTCTGCAGTGCATCTGACCGGGAGAGCCTAGGCTTCAGAGTGGCAGAATTTTCGACACCAGCTACATAGCTAGTGTAGACACTGAAGGGGAATTCTAAGCAACCGGCTGCTTTGGTAGTTTTCCGTGACTTCTATTATCAACACCAGGCGAATGCCGGAGCAGTTCCTAACAAACAGGTCACGGACTCCGCGCGAGCTCACCCCCTTGCTGACACGCAGTTACACTCGCATGCACTACACTACCACACATGCTGGGAAACTAGTTGGGAGGTTAGAGATTGTCCCGTCTTGGGGGATGCCACGCTGGTGGAGATACCTGGTTGTAGAAAATAACCCAAGCCGAAGTAGCTCGACTTCGAAATAGGGTAAGATCACGACCACCACCTCCCGCGATGAAAACATGCCTACACTTACGGGACAAGCGACCTCACCAGTTGACGCGTCCGGAATCACTAATCAGTCAATCAATTGTAGTACCTGTGGAAGTAGAGAGCAATGGTGTATTCCAAGCATCATTGTCAATGTAGATCTGGTACCCGCAGAAAATCAGCCAGTTTTTTTAATCCTTGCCGCTTATCGGAAGCGCGTGGCTGGGCCCACTTCGGAAGGGACCCTAATGCCTCATTCAAAATACAAACTTGAACGTAACGTAAAGCCGTAAACTTTGCAGTATAATTTACATGTATAAACAAACATTCACAATGACGCTTCAACGTATTCATCGATTGTCGATTCGTTTCTACCATGGTGCAAGGATCTTTTCATCGTGGTTTCTAGCTTTCTCTTCGATTTTCCTATCGATTTATCTTTATATATAAATGCGATTAGCTGTTGTATTTACCATGCATTTTCTTTATTTTATAAACGAGGATTCTCTTGTACCAAAGCCACGAGTAACTCGTCGAACATAATTATTGATTCTCCGCGTCAAGTTAGTTACAAAAAAATGGTTCAACTTGTTACTTAGAATTGACTACTCGCATGAAATCCGTTCGCAAACTAGTTCAGTACACAACACTAATGTAATTACATAACCACAAACTACCTGAACACAATCCATGTTTGTCTCTTTCGTGCTGCTTTGTGATTGGTCATCGGTAGAATTCAGACGTAAACTTCACGTAAAAGATTGGTGCTTGTGTTTAGCTTACGGACCTAGGGTTACGTCAAGGCATTCTGAATGGTGTCGCTTCGTAACTCATTTGTAGATCTCAATGCTACGTTATGTTTACGTTTAAATTTGCATTGTGAATGAAGTCTAAAGGCTCATTTACAATGCAAACATAAGCTTGGGGTTAACATTCAAGTTAGGACTACGTCCATAGGCGGACTCGTTCACAATGCTTAAGCAGTGTCATGCATACGCAAATAAACTTTTGTGCTTATGCGTAAGTATGACATAAGAAATGAACCAATCTCTGTACGTTAACCCAAAATCAAGTATCGAAATATGAGCGAAGTCGATAGACGAACTGACGCCTTATGGGCCATGGTCACAGTCGATAACTCAAAATCGATTGTCACATCCAACCAATAGTAAACTAGAATACCTCACAGCCAATAGAAGCTCTTATTGTGTTTACGTTTATGTTAGACAGTGTGAATACTTCAGTCTATCGCTTGTGCTAATGTTTACGTGTCATGTGCGTTGTGCTTATGTTTGTGTGCGCTGTGGAGGGCCCTGCGCGAGGACACGTGTGAAGTGGCGTGGTGGGCGTGCGTGTGTTGCAGAAGGGCGCGGCGCTGCTGCTGCAGGCGCCGGCAGGGGTCGCTGCAGGCGCCGCGGCCGCCGCGCAGGGTCCCCCGCTGCCCCCCCGCGCGCTGCGCCTGCTGCAGGGGGCTCGGCGGCTGCTGCACGCAGGTAACCACCTTCATTTGCATATTATTTATTGATTTGTTTATTTATTTAGTTGTCTATTTGCTTGATTATTTATTTGTCTATTTTCTTGATTATTTATTTGTCTATTTGCTTGATTATTTATTTGTCTATTTGTTTGATTATTTATTTGTTTGTTTGTTTGTTGACATACCAAGCGCGAAACGATTTGAACAATCATAGGTGTAATGACCAATCAGTGTTTTTCTCTTGTTTCTTTTATTTCTTTGCTACCTGTGCATGTGATGCAAAAATGTTACCTCTGACTGCGTATTTAAATACAGGAATGTGGAAAATAAAAGATTAGGATAGTAACTATGGGATTTATATTATTTCCTTAACGATCGAGTTTACGCGGCCGGTTATTATTTTGTAATGTAAAAAGTTTTGAAGAAAATTAAAAAAAAACATGTTATATCAAAATGTAAAAAATAGCAAATGCATTTTCTAAATGTAAATTTTTTGACCTTGATTCTTAGTTTATTCACTAATAAGTCATTAAAACTTAATTTTACAGGAGCCATCGGCCATCACATTCGGCCATCTCCGAACCAATTTAGGTTATGTTTCACGCAGCGATGCTCACTTCTTTAGAAAATAAGAATTATAGTGATTCCCCGCAATATTTTGAGTTCTATATACAAAACATCATTCGTACCATAAATAGATACATCAGAGATGTGGATAATCTATCGGAAGACTAAAGTGACGATCCATTTCGAATTCGCACAAGTCAAATTGGACGATATTTATGGGGAAAATATCGACTGTGCACACATTATTGGAAGTAAACTACGGGTCAGCGTGCGCAAATTGCAATTTTCTGTTTTTCCGATCTCCTATGAGAGCGCTTCTAATTTTGCGTACCCATTTTCCACTACTCATTTTCCATTACTCATTTTGCACTACTCATTTTGTTCGTAGGAAACTTGAAAGAAATGTGGGCGTCTTTCTATGTCTTCATATGTAATGAGTTCTTGCGTATTTTAATGAAGCTCTTATTTTTAAGGGTTTCTCATTTCTTAAGCGCCGACTATATACTCCCCCTTCTGAATACCTACATATTGTCCCACGGGAAGATGTGGAGTGGTCATGCGTCGTGATCATACTGCCGTATCACATGCAGCAGCTCAGCATAAGACGCGCTCACTGGTGATTGTACCCCTACGAACGCTCTAATTGGCCGAGAAGCTGCCACGCGAAAACGCAACCACGATGAGCGGTTTTTTCCTGCGTTCAGCCGAGCCACAGAGCAGCCACGACGAAGGCAGCGCTGCTCTCTTGCCAAAGCAGGCCTTTTCTCTAATTTTGTTTAATTTTGCTTATTAAATGGATAATACGGAAAATGGTTTGCTTCATATCGCGAAAACTGGGGTAAAACTTAGTCGCTTTAATGATTATGATCAAAGCTTGGTATCTGGCGTGTCATCTTTTAATTTGTGTATTCTAGACGTAAGCTAACTTGTAAATGAATATTTGTCACGTCGTATACGTTATTGGGTCATTTTTTTAAATATAAATTATTTTATCATGGTAAATTAAGTTTTAGTGTCATTTTTGCCATTTTCAATTTTTAGGTCATTTTTGTACTTTTACGTCATTTTTGTCATTTTTACGCATATTGTCTCCTTTTCGTGTTTTTTTTTGTTAGTGAACGTTTCTCGACTTTACAATAACAGACTAAATTAATTCTTATTAATTCATAACTGCTTAACATTAACTTATAAATTCATCAGTTCATAACGAAATCCATAACTGCTTAACATTAACTTATAAATTCATCAGTTCATAACGAAATCCATAACTGCGGTGTTTTTCGAACTCTCAAAATTACAGGGGTCATCGATAACTTCCTCAACCTTTCAAAACTGAAGGTTCAGCTCGGAGACAGCACTGCCGCTGTCTCTGCAGTGGCTCTGACCTGGAGGTACTAGGTTCGAGTTCCGACGCTGGTGGATTTTCGGCCATCCTCGAAATCTTCACGCCTAGGTCGAATTCGGTCGCTGTCTGGAGGAGAAATCCAGCGGCCGGCTGCTCTGATCGGTAGTTTTCCGTGGTTTCTGCTATCAACACCAGACGAATGCCGGGGTAGTGCCCTTATAAACAGGTCACAGTCCATGCGCAACCTTTCCTAGCTCTTTCGTGTCCTATTCTCGCCTCTTACACATACACTACCATACGGTCGGGAGCTTAGAGGTCGGCGCTGGATCTCACCATCCTTCGGGGAAAGAACATCGCCACCTCAGTGATTAAATCTTTCACTACGCTAACGAAAGTAATGCACAGAGGTATTGAAATACGAGCAAAATCAATTAAGTCAAGGCTTCCATGGCATGTTCGCCTTAGCGATGTCGGCCACCCAGATCGGCCTGTAGCTGCCAGTAGTTCCCACTGAAGCTCGACTGGCGCATAGACCGTAGGCTATTACGTTTCATTAGTGACATGTTGCCTTTCTTAAACGGTAATTACACTCCAAATTAGTAGAACATCATTATAGGTGTTGGTCTTCGAGAAGTCAGTTCTGTTGGCTTCTGTATCATGCCACTTTGGTAAAATCATATTTATTGCAGGAAATTTCATTAACAAACCTTTTTCATTACTCTTTTGGTGAAATTCAAGTTATTTGGCAAAAATTCAATATTCATCCACTGTTATGACTCTACATGGGCAGCGAATGATTGGGTTAATTCATGGCGTAAGGAAAATAGTTACCCTATTGTTAAGTCAAATTCTCCTACTTTTCGGGGCACGTCGTTTGAAATTTCCACAATTGTGTAAAGTCGGGATTTTGTATTTGGCGAAATTTGTTAAACCGTACCCAAATGTTACTAACCCAGCATTAAAAAAACCGATGAAATTTCTATCATCAGTAATGAGATGAGTTAAAGGTCGCGCCGTGAAAAGAAGGGAAAGAAAACATTTTTGCCAATCAAATTTTTTAACTGATATTTTTTTACTATCGTCCACATTGTTTTAAAATCAACAAATATGTTATAGAATATTAGGAGTCATGTTCTGGGGAAATATCCCGTAGATAGTACTCCAACGATATCACGTCCAAAATCAATTTAAAAAATGTTATTTTTTCTCGTTGAATTTGGCGCCTAAATTGATTGACAAAAGTATTTTCATATTCAACATTTCGCCCGTCTCTGCAATTTTTTCCAGCCTGGTACATGCAGTAGAAGCTATAAAATTAACACGTGAAATACACGTTTTTCATTGTTTATTGTGCAACAGATTGCCCTAGGAGACAGGAAAGGAAAATACGCCATTTTTTATTATCTTTCATGTGAGTATCGCGATTTTTGATTTGGTTTAGTGGCATTTTTTTCCTCCTATTGGGTTATATCCTTTGACAATGGCCACATATTAACTGCGTGTGCAGAAATAATACAAGAAAGAACGTGCTATTTTGTAGCACCACTAGCTGCCAGTAACTTTTGGTAGTTTCTAGTATCACCTTGAGTAGTAATTGTTTACCACAACATCGATACTTCAATACATCACCAAAAGGTTTTCGATGTCGATGGAAACATCGCAAAAACATGGAAGTTTTTAATATGAAGAAACTTTTTGAAGTAAAATGTCCTGGTTGTAATGTGATATGTATGTCGTTAAAATTAATTGTATTGCGCCCTACATTTGACAGGTGTCTTAATTTTCTAAACTATTTTCTATGTAGTAAAGGTTTAAATTGCAGCTTACCACTATTACTATACGTACAAAATAATCTAAAAGGTGACAACACCGGAGAAAGATTGTGAATAGCAAACAGTTTCGTGCCTCATGGGGATCGAAAATAGTGACAGTTGTCAATGGCTGTTGATTGCGAACAATCCACAACTAAAGCATACTGAAGATTTTATTCATATCATGTCATCTTAGGCGCAGAACCACAGCCTAGCGACATCCAGCTGTGCGGATAAGCGATCTGTTTCATTAGCTGCTTGCGCCATCCCGCCACCGAAAAGGTTTCGTACGTTATTAGACGAGGAAAAGGAGTCAAGAGTGCATTACGATAGTTAGTCCGTGAACTATCAGAATCAATTATGGAGAGAGCACAAACTCTGAAGAAGTATCTAGAGAAATTACTAATGAAAAAGTTACGAAGCAAACAATTGAAAATAACTGATTTTTTTAAGGACAAATAAAGACATTGAAGGTTTCAGTTCGTGCTGTTAATATATTTTGCTTTATCTCCGTATAAATAAAATCAGTCGTTGTATAGAAGTTCTATTTAATTTTGACATCATCGGATATAGAGACCATCTGATATAGTCAACCAAAAATATTAGTCCCCAAAAGTTCACTATAACCGGAGACGACTGTAGATGTTCCTGGTCGAAAATATCGATGTTTTAAAAACATTAAAAAAATTTTTCGTCCCTAGCCGAGGGGCCATTGGAGAGAAGTATGTGGCAACACCGTGGTGGAGTGGGGGGGGGGGAGGGGGCGTGTCCCCCGTGGGCGCCCCCTCGCGCCCTGATTCGCGTCTCGCCGGCTCGTCCGCCCACGCGCCGCCTCGCAGCCCCGGCCCCCTGCGGCGATTTCAATCGGCGGCGGCTGCGGGGAAGGCAATCGCCGGGGCCTTGCTCAGCGCCCTGCCCAGCTGCAGGAAACAGAGAAGTCTTCGAGACACTACGCGTTGCACAAAAGTTTCCGTTAAGTGTGCAATTACGTAATGCCTATCCACAATAACAGCTTTTGGAAACTGGTTATTACGAACTAGCGGAACCCCTGCAGACGTCCTGCCCTCCATCTCTCTTCTTCATCTTCTCTCTCCTTTTCTCTCCCACTCGCTCTCACCGTCCCTATCACTCCCTGTCTTCGTATATTCGTGTCTCTCTCTCGTTCTCTCTCTCTCTCGTTCTCTGTCTCTCTCTCTCGTTCTCTGTCTCTCTCTCGTTCTCTCTCTCTCTCTCTCTTTCTGTCTCTCTTTCTCATTCTGTCTCTCTCTCTCGTTCTCTGTCTCTCTCGTTCTGTCTCTCTCTCTCGTTCTGTCTCTCTCTCTCGTTCTGTCTCTCTCTCGTTCTCTGTCTCTCTCTCGTTCTCTGTCTCTCTCTCTCTCTCTCTCTCTCTCTCTCTCTCTCTCTCTCTCTCTCTCTCTTTCTGTCTCTCTCTCGTTCTCTGTCTCTCTCTCTGTCGTACTCTGTCTCTCTCTCTCTGTCGTTCTCTGTCTCTCGTTTTCTGTCTCTCTCTTTCTCTCTCTCTCTCCTGAGCTTAATTTCATAATCAGAGGGGCAAAATGTGCAAGACGCTCTTAACACTCGTAATTCGGTGTGCGGCGGGTTGCTTCCACCGCCGCTGCGTAGAATGCCCTGTTCAGGGGCGCTCGAGTCAGCATAAATGAATTATCAACGCGCGTCTCTGTGCGCAGTCTTGTGCAAGTCCCCATAGTACAATGCTTATTTCTTCCCACGAGTGCAAGTCAT